AAATGAGTTAGTCTTATAAAACACATCTCTACACCCCTGTGAAGTCTAATCTAGTAAAAATCACTTTACAAAAGTATTTCATAACACTACCTAAGACTATACTACTATAAACCGATAAAACTTCTAAAATTCATAACTCCCTAATGGAATAAGATAAAATAAAAATTCTTTCACCTAAAATTCATTTTAGACCAGTACCTAATCACTGTGCATAAATAATGCATTTTAGAGCATTTTGGATTTTCAGCTATTTCGGTGTTTAATTGCATAACGTGTCCTTTATCTAGATAATTGCATAATCGGTGAAGGAGTGGATTAGGTGCTAACATTTCTCTGATCAAGGCAAGTTTTCTCCTCCCATCCTTTGAACACATTGAATCCCATGATTTGAGGAATGAAAATATTTGTTTGCAAAGTTGCATGTGAACTTAGACTATATTGGTATTTGAAATTGGGTTAAGGTAGTTATGACCTATTTGCTGCATACCCCACCTTGAATAATTGATCCTCTTGCTATTTGAACCCCTAGAAATGGTTAGAGTACACTCTTTGTGCTCAAATGGGTTTATATATGCTCTATTTGCAACTACTTGCTTAGCCATGCTTAGAACTATGCAAATGCTCATTCCATCTATAATTAAAATATGATTTTGATACATGAACCTTTGCTGGAATAAAATGAATATGATGGGTATTTGCGAACTAAAATGTGTAAAATGTGATTTTATACTTGGGCGGCAAGTGGTGTGCATATGGTGTTAGTTGCATACCGATAGGGGGAGTGTTTGCCCAAGTCCATAAGGACCGAACTTGTGTCACCCATTTAAAGTTATTCGTACATCCACATGTGCTAGTATGGGATGGCCTAAGCTGAGTAATCTATTTAGGACTAGCCTTGCATTCTGGTAGGCCGGTGTGTATGAGTTCGTATAATTCAGAGGGGCTTCCTATTTACCCCGACGTGGTAGTTTAGGTGACTAAGCGTGTCCAATACAACGGTATTGTGCCACGTGGTGGGTTCCCGTCGTGTCCGCCACCACGGCGTTAAGTTTAAGGCGTGGGCCCGCCACTTAACGGTTCTAGGTATATTCCAAGTATGCCTAGGATGGAGGAACACGTATCGTGCTGGTGCAAGGCTAGGCTCTAAGTAGTGTAAAGGCTTCGTTATGACCTCTAGATCACATTCAAAATGAAGAGTGTGGTGGAGTCTTGCAAACTCAAAACAAACTAGAGAGTTCATATCATGTGGGTAAAGCTGTACAAACTCTGCAGAGTTTTTTAAACTAATCGATTAGCCGTGCTCACGGTCATGAGCGCTTTGGTGATGTGTCATGAGTATAGACTATGTTTTAAAAATGTGATCATGTGACATTGGTTTGAAATTGATAGATGTGTTGAGTTGTGTGTGTGAGGTGATATATTATGACTTATTGTCAAAGGATGACAACAAGAGATTGATTATGATGGAATTATGATGAATTTAATATTGAAACTTAAAATTTGTTTTGTTAATTGAAGCATCAACTCCTTTACAAAAGAATTGCGAAACAAAACTTGCTTTATGCTGAAAATGAACTACATATTGCCTTCCTTTGAATATATGCCTTACATGTAGTATGGTAGGATTGACTTGTGCTTGCCAGTACATTAACTTGTTTAATGTACTAACTCTTGCTGTTGATATAACCTTTTATTTGCAGGTTTAGTCTTAGTCTTTGAGTGATGCGGGTTCCGATTGTTTCTTCTAGGATGAGAACTTAATGGGGTAAACCCCTAGTCGGTGTGCTTGTGATTGGGTAATCAAGCTTCCGCTGTTCTCTAATAAGTCTATTTGGCCGGTCGGCCTATGTAATTATTAAGTTGTTGTAAGTCTTAAGTTTCTTTCATCTTAGTTGTGTTTGCTATGTATAATCATGCTTAAGATGAAAGTGTGGATCTAGTGCACATTCTGGGAACTAGATTCACATGAGTATGAGTTAGGAATATTTGAGAGGTTGTAGATCTTTAGCCATTTTTGTCAAGTCTCCTGAATGTGCAATACATCTGGTCGCCGCCTTCGAGTGGTTTGACGGGCACATCTCAGGCTGAAGTTGACTGGCAGGCTAAGGGCCCAGCAATGTCTCCAATATTCCTCTCTCGAGGCGTCGGATGTTTCATTATATTTGTTTGATGACTTGAATTATTCACTTCATCTCTCAAATATAATGGAAGGTCTGGAGAGCCTACGACATCAGGGAGAATTTTTTTCGAAATCTCTTTGCTCTGAAAATCACTAACATGACTTAAAGAGTAAATATCATAACACCGGAGGCCGTGTTGCTAAGTTTAAAAGTGTCAAGACTCCTCTAATAGTAGTTTCTTCCTTTGCCCTTGGTTGTGAATTGTGCCCAATTCACTCCCCTCTCAATCCGCGGTTTCGTTTTGCATGGCGAACCGTATCCGTTTTCGTTCGCGGGACTGTTTCCGTTCTTTTCCTAAAACGGCACCGCATTGATTTTCCTTTTTGGGAAAGTCCTAGTTCCCTCCTCTTTCTTTTTTCCCTCTCCCTCTCTAGCTAGCCGAGCGCCCCTCTCCCCCTCCCCCGCGCGCGCCGCCCCTCCTCCTGCGGAGTCGTCCTCCCAATCCTACTCCCACTAGGATTCACCCTTTCATAATCTAATCCTCCCCTGTATAAGTAATTCCTCCCCTTGTTTTTTTTCCTTTTCCCAACCAATAGCTCTAGTCTCCACCCAAGCCGCTGCCGCCTTAGCGCCACTGCTGCCCAGCGCTGTCACCGCCGCTGGTTGCCATCACCGTCGTCGCTGTAGCGCCGCCGGTACTCTGTTCTCCTCGTCCTTTGATGTAATTGCTTCTGCAATCATCAATCTAGCAACCTAAGTTTTTCCCCTTTTTGCCTCCCTCTAGCGTCGTCGTCGATCTCGGGTGCTGCCCCCGGAACCGCCGTCGCTGCCGTCGTCGTCCTTCCCCGGTTTTTGCTCCTCGGTGAGGAATCCCTCCTGTTTTTAGGGTTTTGCTTCCGTGTGTCGTAGATTAATTGTCTAAACCAAACAACACTTTTGGTCACCGTACACACTTCGTAATGACCCGGTGCAACGCACATGCACTTTTGCTAGTATATTGTAAAATACCCTTCTCAAAAAAATAGACTTGGAAGATTTGCTACTCCGTGCAGGCAGTGGCGGAGCCACATGGTGGTCCGTGTGGGCCATGGACCACAGTAAAATCTGGCCCAAATGCCTATTACCCTTGTTCTGATCCAAACATAGAAAAGAACGATGCTTTTGTTTCATAAGTTGATTTGCTTTATCGAGTTGTTGTTCCGGTTTCCGTCCTTCCTAGTTCCCATCCTGACTACGCCATCGATCGTGCGAGTGCTGCTTTCATAACTCGACGACTCAACGCTTGGGATTGGGGGCCCATGTCCAATGGCGGCAACAGGCGTCTGGCGACTAGGATCAAGAGCAGTGTTCAGCAAGCAGGTATATCACTATATTAGTTTCGGTTCGATTTTGGGAATTCCGATTAGAATTGGATTGATAAATCCGTTAAAACAATGCATAATCCTATTGTAGATTTGTTGAAGCAGTTCTATGTTAATAGTATATTAACATTAATAGTGTTCAGAAAAATTATGTTAATTAAATTGGACCACCCTAATCCTAGCTACACCACTGCGTGCAGGCACCGTCAATTAGTTCTATGTTGTGATTAGGGCTTGGTGAGTGGAATTGGATTATTTGCTACTCATCAGCGTCATCGGTGTTTGCGGCCTTGGACAAGGACAATGACGGCAAGGTTTCCGCGTTCGAGCTGCGTGGCTGCATGGTGGTGGAGCTTGGCGAGGACGTGTTCGAGGAGGCGGCGGCGATCCTCGGAAAGGCTAAGGGGTGATCGATCGCCCCTAGCGCGGTTCCCCCACCCTCCACGTAATTTTCTTTTTCGGCACCATATTACTTTTCTATTTTAGTAAATTTATGCACCTAAAGTTTGTACATCTCAAGTTTACACATATAAAGTTTAGAGATCCAAAGTTTATAAGTTAAAAGTTTATATATCTGATTCAAATTTGAATTTGAATTCAAATATTTTTATATATAGTATTTCTATACATCTAAAGTTTATACACCTAAAGTTTATAGATCCAAAGTTTATAAGTCAAAAGTTTATATACCCGATTTCAAATTTAAATTTGAATTATATCCGATTTCAAATTTGAATTGAATTCAAATATTTTTTATATATAGTATTTCTATGCATCTAAAGTTTATACACCTAAAGTTTATAGACCCAAAGTTTATAAGTCAAAAGTTTACATACCCGATTCAAATTTGAATTTGAATTCAAATATTAGTTTATAGACCCAAAGTTTATAAGTCAAAAAGTTTACATACCCGTTTCAAATTTGAATTTGAATTCAAATATTTTTTATATATAGTATCTCTATACATAAATTTTTTCAACTTTGTTTTTTTATTTTTTAAAAATGTATGGTGTAGTAAGAAGAGAAGAGGGGGTAGGAAGGGAGAGACAGTAGCTTATAGGGGGATGGGGGGTGATCGCCTGGAGCGGTCACCCGACCATTAGCCGAACCCGGTGATCCTCGCTACGGCCGACTACGACGACGACAGGTTGCGGAAAAGAATATATTCTTTCACTGATTTGCGGGTTCCACATGGATTTTATTTTTTTGTTTCTTCTAGTGCCACGTCAATGCCACTTCATCCAAAACCACTCTCAAAACTGCCTTGCGACCTAAAGTGATCCAGTTTTACAAGATTATGGATGCGCTATATCTGGTATTTCGGTGTAGGGATGATTTTCAAACTCTGCTACAAGATGAGAGACCACAAATGAACTTTTTCCGAATAAGATAGAGCGGGGAACTTAATGGGCTAATACCAAGTCAATGGGCCAGATGGTAACGGGTCGACCCGTCCCGGCCCATGTGCAGGCCGTACCGTTGCACGGCACACCGTTCCGTAATCTCCCTCAAATCGAAATCCTATTTGCCCCACTTCTCCCCTGTCTCTTCCTCCCACAACTCCCCTCCCGAACCCTAACCCTAGCTCTCCCCCCGCGCCGGCGGCGGCCATGGCGCTCATCACCCCAGCTAGCGGCGGGGGCGGCGGCGGAGGAGACAAAGCCCCACCGTCCGCCTCCGACCCGAGCCTCGGGTTCCTCACTAAGCGCGACACGGAGGTGAAGCTGCCCCGGGCGACGCGGGTGAAGAACAAGACCCCCGCCTCGGTCCAGATCACCGCAGAGCAGATCCTCCGGGAGGCGCGGGAGCGGCAGGAGCCCGAGATCCGCCCGCCCAAGCAGAAGATCACCGACTCAATCGAGCTCTCCGAGTACCGCCTCCGCCGCCGCAAAGAGTTCGAGGACGTCATCCGCCGCGTCCGATGGAACGTCAACGCCTGGGTCAAGTACGCCAAGTGGGAGGAGCAGCAACGGGACTTCGCCCGCGCGCGCTCCGTCTACGAGCGCGCCCTCGACGTCGCCCACCGCGACCATACGCTCTGGCTCAAGTACGCAGAGTTCGAGATGCGCAACAGGTTCGTCAATCATGCCCGCAACGTCTGGGACCGCGCCGTTTCTCTCCTACCCCGGGTGGACCAGCTGTGGTACAAGTACATCCACATGGAGGAGCTACTTGGCGCTGTTGCCAACGCCCGCCAGGTGTTCGAGCGCTGGATGGCCTGGCGTCCTGACACAGCTGGCTGGAACTCGTACATCAAATTTGAGCTGCGCTATGGTGAGGTGGAGCGGGCAAGAGCTATTTATGAGCGGTTTGTGGCTGAACACCCACGACCAGATACGTTCATTCGATATGCCAAGTTTGAGATGAAGCGTGGAGAAGTGGAGCGCGCGCGGCAGGTGTACCAGCGTGCTGCAGACCTGCTCGCAGATGATGAGGATGCCCAGGTGCTGTTTGTAGCCTTTGCTGAGTTTGAGGAAAGGTGCCGGGAGGTTGAGCGTGCCCGAGCTATATACAAGTATGCACTTGATAGGGTGCCCAAAGGCCAGGCTGAGGAGCTGTACAGGAAGTTCCTTGCATTTGAAAAACAGTTTGGTGACCGTGAAGGAATTGAGGATGCCATCGTGGGTAAGAGGAGATTCCAGTATGAGGACGAGGTGAGGAAGAACCCTCTCAATTATGATTCATGGTTTGATTACATTAGGCTGGAGGAGAGTGTTGGGAACAATGACAGGATCAGGGAGGTGTATGAGAGAGCCATTGCTAATATCCCCCCAGCAGATGAGAAGCGTTACTGGCAACGATACATTTACCTATGGATAAATTATGCTTTGTATGAGGAGCTTGATGCAAAGGACGTGGAACGGACCAGGGAAGTTTACAGCGAGTGTCTCAAATTGGTTCCACACAAGAAATTCACTTTTGCCAAGATGTGGCTCATGGCAGCCCAGTTTGAGATAAGGCAAAGGAATCTTAAAGCTGCACGGCAGATACTCGGAAATGCCATTGGGATGTCTCCAAAGGGCAAGATATTCAAAAAGTACATTGAGATTGAGTTGTATCTTGGTAATTTTGACCGTTGTAGGACTCTCTATGAGAAGTATATTGAATGGTCTCCAGCAAACTGTTATGCCTGGAGGAAGTATGCTGAATTAGAGAAGAACCTTAGTGAGACTGATCGTGCTCGTTCCATATATGAGCTTGCTATTGCTCAGCCAGCCCTTGATACACCAGAAGTTTTGTGGAAGGTGTGTTGTTCTTTCTGTTATCCTAGTATATCCTCTTTTTTAGGGCTTTCAAACTAGAAGTGGTAGATATGTATTTCTTATTTCTCTTGTTCCTCAAGTGGTAAATGGTTCTATAGTGAAACGTATACAAGCATTGTTTTAATTTCTAAAATCAGTTGATTTCATATTGTAGTGAACTGTTGAATTGACATTGTCTGAGACACCACCCACTCATCACATAAAAACTTTTTCCTCGTTTTATTGGTATTGCTGTGGCGCCTAAGCATTCCAACATTTATATTTTATAATGTATCTGAATATCCATAGTTCAACAATGTATGTATTTTCAATGTAAAAAAGGGACAATTATATTCACCATTGAAAAATGTTTTGATTATCAAGTTAAAGAACCATCATAACCCATGCCTACTTTTTGAAACCATGCCAATTCAAAACACATTCTGTAAACAACAGTAGTGGGATGGTTCTACCTAATACCTATACCAATTCTTCTATGGCTGATTCTTTGGTCCTAAAATACATTTTACTTGATAATATTGGTTCATATCTGCTCATGTTTTGATTAAAGGTTCTGTTCATTTCATGAATACAAAGCAAAGTTGATATTTACCGATCAGCTTTGTTTCTAGATTTCAATATAATGCTATAATGTGTTTGACATACTAGCTAGAGAGTAGAAAATAAGCTTGATTGGTATCTTTCTTGGTTGTTCTCCATAATATGGAAGGTGTAACTTTTATGGGCATAATGGGCATGCTGCATAACTAGTCCCATTTTTCTTGTTTTGAACACTGAATCCCAATATTTATTTCTTTTTTGAGATCTAGGCTTTGTGTGTTGAAGTGTGTATTGTTTTACCATTGATCTTTGCATTATTATATTCTGGCACTCAAAAAACTGTGGCGTGATTGTTATTTGTTGTCTATTCTTCAATTTCTATTCTATCAGATTTACTTCAGCAAGGCTAGAAGCATATTTCTCTTCAACTATATGATAATATCTGCTATTTCACAGCAGTGGCATATTGATGTAGTTATATTATTCAATGTAAGATTTTGACATACATGCTTATTTAGAATAAGCATATCTATTTTAGATGCCTCATTTGCGTAAATCAGGCGGCACTTTTTTTGGCATTCTTGTACTCTTTTGGTTTTTTGGCTCTTATTCCCCCTTGAAAGGTGAAGGGCTGAACCATGTGTATAGTACTAATGCCGGCTAATAGGAAACTCTTTTACGCTCCTTTATGGTCTTGAATTTCCTCATCCTTTTTTTACTTAGGAGAAAATGTGATGGACTATCAACATTTTACATTTATGTCCAGAATACAGAGAGCACATTCTGAAAATTTGGGCCTTCTATTAGGAAGTTTTTCAAATAGTTAGGCCCTGCTGTGATGGTGAATTAAAAAAAAGGCAGTTTCTTTCAGTAATTTCACTAGAATAATTGGAATATTTAGTTACTGCAGGAATAAGGATAAAATTCTCTATACAAAACTGTGCATGGGCATTGGGCCGTAAGGCGCCCATGGGCAGCCCATACCAGGCAACTTAGATATAAGATTATTAGTTAGGTTAGGGATAATACATCAGTAAGAGTTAAAGATAAGACTAGGTCGAGTCCTTACTTAAGAGTCCAATTATTCCATCTATATAAGGATGGGAAGTCTATTATCATTAAGCAATGATGAATATCACTTAGTCTAATCTCTCCCTCCCCATAATGTTCTTCTCCCTAGCCTAAATCTACATCCCTTCTCCAGGAGCTGATGACGCACGTCTATCTTCCTGGCTGTGGGTATCCTGTCATGACCTCAGGTCGTGACACTGTTATACATGTTACAACTGAGAGAGCCATCAAGCAATGGTCTTAGAAAATCTACAGATACTGACTTATTTAGTCCATCCTGGAGTTTCATGTGTTTATTTGCTATGTATTCTTAATCATTTCCTGTTTTGTATCTTACAGGAGTACTTGCAGTTTGAAATTGATGAAAATGAATTCGATAGGACTCGCGAACTATACGAGAGATTGCTTGATAGAACAAAACATTTGAAGGTATGGATAAGCTATACCGAGTTTGAGGCCTCGGCTGGTTTGGCTGGGGAAGACGGTGAGAGTGAGGAGATTAAGAAAGAAGTTAGTTATCATGAACAGCAGATAGAACGGGTTCGAAGGTGCCGAGGTAATTGAGAGCAAATTTATTCATGGGTAATTGAAGTTAGGCAGGTACCTCTGTTCCTTTTGTCATTCAAAGTGCAATAAACCTAACTTATATTTCCTTTTTTTTTTCAATTTCAGCAATCTTTGAAAGAGCATTCGAATACTTCAGAACTAGTGCTCCAGAGTTAAAGGAGGAAAGAGCAATGCTCCTTGAAGAATGGCTTAACAAGGAGGTGAGCTTTGGTGACCTTGGTGATGTCACCTTAGTGCAGAAAAAGGCGCCAAGGAAAGTGAAGAGAAAGAGACCAATTCCTACAGAGGATGGCTCCACTGTTGCGTATGTTCCTTACTCAGTTATTTCATTATGCTATATAGTTTTTTCTAAAACGCTTCATCTTATTCTGTTATATGCTTTTCAACGTTCTGACTCCTAATCTGTTCACATAGCCTGTTTTCCATTTAGGTTGCCTGCAATTTAGGGAACAAATGTATTGATACAATATTTTGTTAACCTTAGGTATGAAGAGTACATTGATTATATTTTCCCCGATGAGGTTGCGCTGGCTCCAAACCTCAAGATCCTTGAAGCAGCCTATAAGTGGAAGAAGCAGAAGACAGATGATACTGATGATGTCTGAGCTAAACTGCCACTGTTTCTGTGGTCACGAATGAGCTAATCGTTGTCAAAATTAGATCTGAAGGTCTTCTACAATGCTGGGTAAAGTTGTGAATGTGCCCTACCTGATCATGTGGTGTGGTGCTGGCACTTCGATCAATTCAGTTTTACATCTGTATGTCTGATGGATAGAAACTGAAACAAGTTCATAGTCTTTAATTTAGTTTTGGCATGCATGATCTTGTTTCTTGCTCACGATATTTGTCTCTAAGGTCCAAAATAGGAGACGGTTGTTCCTTTTAGTTTTCTTTTATTTATACATCAATAGGTAGGCAGCTCCAGCCATATTAGTCTAAGAATGGCGCATTTTGTGTAAAGAAGCTGCCTGTAAGGTGCGGTTGTGTACCAGTGAGATGGACTGTGAAAACTTGTCTTGCTGATGGTATCCAATTTTCCTGAGCGAGGACCGAGGAGATAGTGCATATTAATCTCTCTAAACGTCGTGGGAGCGCTGGAGATTTAGAGTGCCATGTCATCGACTTTTTTCAGAAAAACCCTTGCTCTTTCCGCTAATAGTATGTGCATCCCTGTTAACGTGGCCCGTCAGATCACGTGCTAAGGTCGATCTGACCGTCCACGTGTCCTAGCCTGGCTACCCTTCCACCATCGTCTGATCGACGGTATGGATTTGCCAAAAACCCTAGCCACCTCAAACCTCGCGCCACTCAACGCGTAGCTCGGCCACCCGACGTTCTTCTCACCCACGTCGCCTCGCCCTTCTCTCCTCGCGCGCGCTGCTGCCTTGCCCTCCTCCTGCCGCAGGCAGCCCGGCCTCGCCTCTCTCGGTCTGGTCGCTGCAGCTACCAATGAGGGAGGCCAGCCTCCCCACAGATGGATCAGACCGCCCAGATGAAAGAGATGTGAGCCGCCTCCACCTTCTTCTTCGTCCCTCTTGGTGTAGCGCCAGATCCGTTGGCGGGCCATCGATGGTTTGGTTTCCCACCGGTGGATCCGGTTGCTCGGAGCCTTGGAAGCGAGGGAGCAAGCTGTCGCTGCCACCCTCTACTACTCTCCTTCTCTGCACCTCCACCGCCCCTCTCCTTCTCTCAGCTCCACCAAGTGTTAGATTCGGCTTATAGAGGTCGCCGGGTTTGGTAGGAGGAGAAGGTAGGAGCGGTGCAGCTGTTGGGGAGAAGGAAGGAGGAGGGTCGCGGCTTGGCCATTACTGTGATGACGACGGTTGTTGCTCGGTCAGGTCGATGGCTAGGGATGGCGGCGGCTAGCGGCTTGGTTAGGACGATGGTAGGGAATAGCAAGTCGGCAATGGCTCAGTCTTTGCTTTTCAATTTATTTTTCTTTGGGAGAGGAAACCTGATATTGACAGGCAATTACCGCGAAAATAATGTCATCCTGCCTGGATCACCTGGTGATGCTTGTATTGGAGTCACATCAAGGAGCCCAGAGTAATTCCATTCTCTCTCTATGCAATATGTGATTCTTAATTCATTGTGAATTTGTCTAATTTTATGGATCTCTGAAATCCCAATTTGCATGTCCAAGATACACAGACGAAGCAAGAGCTGTTCATGAATGTGATTTGAGCAACATATAACAGGTAGGTTGTGTTCAGATTCTTTTTTACTTAGCTCATATGGGAAAGACAAGGTATGCTTCTTTATTCTCTCATTGGTACTTAAAAAGGATCAGCTTTACCTATTTATACATGAGTGCTTGCAGTACTAATACAAATCATTGCCATGGGTTAACATTGAGGTGATTACGTCACCAATTTGGTGAGTAGACAGCAGACAGGGCATCCCTGGTTTCAGGTCTTGCTGCTCATTCATGCGACTAAGACACGTATTTTAGTCCTATATCCCCTTCGTCAGCCATCATCCCGCTTTTCTTTTGCATCCGCTATATATTCCAGATTGGTAATTTTCGCATCACATTATTTGTTCTTAATTGCAGCTGTCTCCACTCAGAATGCACATTGTTCCTTGGTTTTCTATGTTATGAGGTTGAAGCCGGTTAATACATATGTTTGTGTTTCAGACTTTTTTCTCATAATCAACAATGTCGTTTAGTGACATACATTATTTTCCCCTATGCTCTTTTAGTTTGATATGAAATACATTTCTCATATATGTCTTTTTGTTCTTAGAGATAATAGTACGCTGACAAACTGAGTAGGTCTTCTTTTCGAGCTCTTTTGAAGTGGTTAGGTGTTTCTATGTGATATCTGCGAATTACTGATTCTTTAATGAGTTACGTAAATATGAAGTTATAATACTCTGTAGATTCCACATACATTGTGGAACATAGTAAATGTTTTGATTGCTATTGTAGGCCATAGTATGTAGATTACACTCTTATTACCCTTATGGTTCCCTTCCTTTCCTCCAACCCAACAGGATCCTGTGCATCTCTTCTTTCTGGAGTTCAATTATCACATTGGTGCTTCATCTGCAACACCATATGGACCAATTTAATATGCCATGTCCTAAGAAAGTCGTGCATGACAAGAAGGTATCTAAGATAACACTCTTTCGGTAATGCCAATTGTTAAACATAGAAATCAAAGTAATTTATTTTGTTACCGTTTCCTTCAAGTGGCACTCGCATATTGTTCAATTGTAACGGGGACATTAGGTTTTCTTACTCTGCTGGTTTCCTCATGGCTGTGTACACAAACAGTTATAGATTATAAAATAAATATAATGGACCCATGTTTGCAGCTACTACTTCTAGTCTATGTCCTTTTTATTATATGCTACTTCAGATTTGGTATTTGTTCTAGGGTACCTATAATATCAACAAGAACTAAAATCGAAAGATTTCAACGAGAATCATGTACTTGCAAACCATTGGTCAAGATCCAAGATTTCATCCTTGAAGTGTCCATTTCAAAGTTAAGGCAACTTTCTATTCTGGATTAGTCTTTTGGCCTGCATCAATGGTTTTAATTAACAATCTGGTGGGATTTAGTTGCCCCATGAGTTACTTTTACAGTATTGATGAGGCTGAAAATTTACCCTAAGTTCTATTGGATTCTAGGTTAATCCACGGTGCATTCATTCAAAGTTAGCATCTCATACCGCACACAACTGAGATATTATATATTGTTAGTTTGGTGGAACTATTTCAGTGATTATCATATGTCTGAGATATTATATTGTTGATTGCACATTTTTGCAAATGGCTGAAACAATTCTATTTTTATTTAATTGCTATGCCTTCGAAACTACATTATTGTTTCAGACTTTCTGAACTTTCTTGCAAGATATCAGAAGACTTTTAGCATTGCCCACATTCATATAAATGTTAATAAATCTATACATACATACATACATACATACATACATACATACATACATACATATATATATATATATATATATATATATATATATATATATATATATGTGTGTGTGTGTGTGTGTGTGTGTGTGTGTGTGTGTGTTTAGATTCATTAACATCTATATGAATATAGGCAATGCTAGAAAGTCTTACATTATGAAACGGAGGAAGTAGACAGGAGTGCGGGTTTTGTTTTTGTAGGCATACATGTCAGTTCATGGAGAGCCCCATGGACAAACAAAGTCTGTCCTGCAAATTCTTTGGGTGGCTGTCGCTGCTCCATAATTGACTATGAACAGCGATTGCTTGCAATTGAGGGGTTGGCTAAATAATTATCTTTTTGCCAACATTGTGGGAGGAATTTAGAGACCGCCGAACAGTTTAACTTGTTCCTGCATTGCCTCTTTTAGGAAACTGGATGCCTATTAATAGAGGGGATGAGATTCATTATTGTACACTTGAGGAAGAGAGTGAATAAGAAAGCATGTCACTCTAATATCTTTGTAAATGTTATGCACTCTCTCTCTCTCTAGTACTCTCTTGCGGGAGGGGTTGCACTGGTTGTACAATAGTTATCATCATGATGTTTTATTGGAACTAGAGCAGCTAGTTGTACCAGTTGAGTTTCTAGCATCTTATTAAATATCAGCTGGTTTTAGAAAGCGAAAGCTAAGCCGTCAGTTGATTAAAGCACTTATTGACAGTTAGCTTCTTGCTTAAAGCATCAGTAGTTTTAGCTTGGGCAAAAACAAGATCTTTCAAGGGAGGTTGATTATTAAAATTACCGTTGTTGCCATTGCCTCCTTGGTAGAACAGGCAGGGCTGGTTCCACCTGTGGCCTCCTTGCGGACAATATCTATTGTTATTCATGAACATTGCTTCCTCCTCACGGGTCTCGAGACAGTCTGTCCCGGAATGACCTGCATTCTCGCAGACCTCACACGTGATGTACGAGTCCAAGGCCTTGACTGTGCCTCAGCTTGTTCTTTTCCTAGTCGTCCAAGCGCTTCATTAGGAAGTCCAGTTTTGCAGCTAGGATTTCCATCTCCTTGATGGTATGCATGCCACGGGTCTGGAGTCGTTCTTTGCTCCAGCCCATGTTCGAGACCATCTTCTCAATTAAGTCGACGGCTCCTCTGATCGTCTTTGAGAAGAAGGCTACTCCAGCAGACGCGTCCAAATGGTCCCGGGACGAGGGGGTGAGTCCATTGTAAAAACTCGGCAGGATCAGCCAGTCGTCCATCCCATGATGAGGACAGGCGGCAACGTACTCTTGCAGCCTTTCCCAGGATTCCGGAATGGACTCGTCCCTTCTGCTAGAAGCTTGAAATTCTCCCACGAAGGGCATTGGTCTTGCCCATCGGAAAGAACTTTGATAGGAATGCCGTAGAGCATTAGTTCCAAGTGTCTATCTTTGCACGGTTGGCATAAAATCACTGCTTTGCTTTCCCATAGAGGGAAAACGGAAACAGTCTAAGCCTGCCGGTGTCTGGGCTGACGCCTTTAATCGTGCTCGTGCTACAGATATCCAAGAACTGTTGAAGATGAGCACCGGCATGCCATAGAATGAGCTTGCCTGTGCCATCATAATGAGGCTAGTCTTCAAGTCAAAGTCGCCATCTCCTAAGTTGACGTGCGGCCCAATGGGCACATTGTCAGCGGAGGGAGCAACGAACTCACGGAGGGTCTTCTCAGCCATGTTCTTGAAGCTCGATGACACTGGGATGGTTGGTTTCTTTGCCGATAATGTTTTCTGCGAAGGGACAACTCGCGGTTTGACAATCCTAAAGAAAACTTCTAGGTTGTCTTGGAAGTTTTTCGGCAAATTGAAACCGGTCATACACTACCCTGTTTTCACGACAAAAGTGAAAACAACCAAGGTTAGCCTGCAAAGGACAATGATTATACATAGGTAAATATAAAGTTATTACCATATAATAATCTCTTAATCATTAATCTTCCCTAGCAACGGCGCCAGAAATGCTTGTTGATATTTCTTAACGACACTACTAGAAATATAATTCCTAGCAATGGCACCGAAAAATTCTTTGTATATTATTGTTGACGGTCATTATAGACCAATTTCGACCGTCAATATAACTAAAATAAAGGAGAACTAGCTATACTTGCAATGCATATTTGTTTTAGAATAATCTATTTCTAATTGTACTTGGATTTTATTCGATTGCAGAGATTGCTACACAAATGAAGGAGAATCGACAGGAAAACTAATGAATGATCAATCAGACGCTGTTGAGAAGTAGGCTTATGAGTAAATGGGCCTAAAAAACCAGAGAAATAACCTCAAAAGGCCCAAACTCCACATCACTGAAGTGAGGAGCCAACAGGGAGATGGCCTGCAAAAAACTAGGCTAGTTGGGCCAGCCCAAGCACCTGCTCTGTTGGATGCAGGGTTTGGTGTGGACGTTTCCGACCTTTCCAACCATCTCATAGTTCAGCTATAAAAGTACCTCACCTTCTCCACTCCAACACACACTCAAGCAAGAAGCACTTGATCTTTCTCTCAAGTTTAGTTTAGTACTCTAGTGCTAGTAGAGTAGAATAGAATAGTTTTTTTTTTAGTCCTCTAGTCTCTAGGAGATTTCGGGTATGGCTCTAGCAGTTTTTCTCTCCTTTTGTAGGACTTGTCAAATTAATAGAATATTCTTCTTTATATATCTTCGGTATTTTACTTTATCTTAGTACCGGCTTTATTTTATATTTGTCTCGATATAGTTGTGTGACTAGCTTACCATAGAGGTGCAATGGTGTGGGTTTAATGTTCATGCAAATGATTGCTCTATGTCATTCTAGAGGATATGGAGTAGTATTTAATAATGTAAACATGGTGCTTAGATTTATCATTATTTGGGCATATATGGTGATAGCTCAGTACGGGTATTCCTCTACGTTAGTATATATTCCTAAGACACTTTCCTTGGGTGGGTACTCCTCCGTATTTGATTCTGGTAGGATGGTCATGACAGGTTGTCGTAATAAACTCCGTATTTGATCCCGATTGGATGGTCATGACGGGTTGTCGTGAGAAACTCGGCAATCAGGGTTGGTCTCTCAAAACACCAGGAAGGCACTGTTAGGGGGTATTGGTTGCATAGCTATATACTAGCAATTGTAAACTAAAGATGCATATATACTAGAAGTATAGGAGTGATTTGTTTTCTATTTCGTTCTTCACATAGCCTAGATTTATTTAATATAGCCTAGATTTATTTAATGAGAGTATGAGTTTTTCTTACATCGTGTCACTCTACCCAGCATAAATGAATTAACCCCTGCTTAGACTATAATGTATATAAGTAATATATAAATTATTAGCATAGTTCTCTCTTATAAATCTTTCTCTTGTGTCGGAGGATGTATATAAGTAATATATAAATTAAAATTCTCTTGTGTCGGAGGATGTATATAAGTAATATATAAATTAAACCTTCTCTTGTGTCGGAGGATGTATATGAGTAATATATAAATTATTAGCATAGTTTTCTCTTATAAATCTCCCCTTGTGTCGTAGGCTCTTCGGATCTCCCATTATATTTGAGAGATGAAGTGAATAATTGAAGTCATCAAACAAACATAATGAAATATCCGACGCCTCGAGAGAAGAATATTAGAGACATTGCTGAGCCTTTAGCCTGCTAGTCAACTTCAGCCTGAGATGTACCCATTGAACCGCTCGAAGACGACGACCAGATATGTTACACATTCCGAGACTTGACAATGGCTAAAGATCTACAACATCTAAAATATTCTTAATTCATACTGATGTGAATCTAGTTCCTAGAATGTGCAGTAGATTCACACTTTCATCTTAAGCATGAAGATACATAGCAAAATACATTTAAGACGAAAGTGATTTCAAATTACAACTACTTAATAATTACAATGGCCGACCGGCCAAATATAATTATATTAGAGAACATCGGAAGCTTAACTACCCAAACACAAGCACACCGACTAGGGGTTTACCCCATTAAGTTGAAATCCTAGAAAAAGCAGTCGAAACCCGCATCACTCAAATTATGCCAAGTCTATTCCCTGTAAAACATAAGTTAGACAAATCATGGCAAGACTCAGTATATTAATTTGATTAATGTACTGGCAAGAGCACTATCAAACCTGTATACATGAAAGCTCTAAGTCAAAGGAAGGCTATTTGTGGTTTTAATTTTCAGCATAAAGCAAATTTTAGTTCACAAACCATTTGCAACGTAATTTAAGCAAAACATTTAAGAAATATGTAAAGCATAATAATCATGGCATGGTCAACATATGTAGATAAGCATCATTCCCTTACCAATCCGAAAGTAAGGCAATCATACTTGTCGGTGATATGGGACCGGGAGTATCGTGACCAGAGGCTTGAGGCAGACACAATCGCCCACGTGGCCTGGCACCTTCGGGGACGTCGGGCCCGAGGGTGAGGTGTCCGCCCTCCTCCTGATTTCCCCGAGGGGGGGTCGGGTGACTCCTGCCCGGCCCCGAGGGCCGAGGCGCCCCGACCCCTTGTGGAGTTAGCGCCACATGAATGGGTTGGGTGAACACGGTAAGCCTCACCTAACCATATTTATTGCAGTCTGGTCGAACGTGTCACGCTGCATGCAGCGTAGTGCAGCGCGTTCCTTTATCCGGTCTGTGACCAGTCACAGACCGGTCAGATCACGGGTTAGGTGGCGACTGGCGGTCTGACGCACGCCTTGCCCCATCCCGTCAAGACGAAAGCCTCTAGGCACTCGTCTCAAGCCGGAGCTAGCGTGTAATCTCTTGGAGATGGCACGTTAGCCCTGGTTAGATTTATACCAGGCTTCATCCCAACCATTACAGGCAAGATGCTACATGAAGAAGGGCAAACATGCACGTTGCTAAGCTGACACGTGGTGGACAAGGATGACTGATTTGTGACCGGTCTGACACTGGTCGCATCATCAACAGACAGCCATAATCCCACGTCGCACCTGTTTCCGGCGGAAGTGGGGGTAGATATGGGCCGTCCCATCAGAAGGGCACCCGGAGAGGAACCGTACCGATCTCCGTCCATTTATGAAGAGAAGAACAGTCCAGTTTGGAGAGGGGCATGTGGTATCCCCTTGAGATATAAAAGGAGGACCTTGCCCACTTAGAAAAAGAGAGGACTTTTGGACACGAGGCCTTGGCCAGATCCGATCCCAGAGCAATTGGGGGCTGGTTGACACTTTGTTACTTGTTCACACACAAATCCACCAAAACACAGGAGTAGGGTATTACGCTTCCCAGCGGCCCGAACCTGTATACATCGCCCGTGTCTCGTGTTTCTTCCTAGCTGGCGATCTTTCCACATACCGAGAGAGCTTGAGATTTCACCCTAAGCCCCCGGCCGAACCGGCAAAGGGGGCCTGTGCGGTCTCCCGGTGAGGAGCCACGAGCTCCGTCATCTGGCGCGCCAGGTAGGGGATGGTGAGTCACTTCGCTCGTACATTCAGCGGTTTTGCCAAGTCCGCAATACCATACCATGCATCCCTGCACACGCGGTGATCTACGCGTTCAGGGGGGGGGTGTGCGGCACAACCGCATGCTCGAAAAGATCGCTTCCAAAGAGCCCCAGACTACCGCGGAGCTTTTTCAGCTCGCAGACCGAGTGGCTCGTAAGGAGGAAGCATGGACCTGGAACCCCTCCGGTTCCGGAGTGGCAGCTTCGGCCGCCCCCGGATCCGCCGCTCAGATAGGGCGGCGTGACAGGAGGAGGAAGAAGAGGTCGGTCTATTCCGGCGACGAGGGTCATGTCCTCGCCGTCGAGGGCGCTCCGCGGGCCACCCGAAAGGGGAGGCCTGCGAGCGACAAAAAGAAAGAGGCTGGTACTCCCATCAGGGAGCGCCCAGCCGGCAAGTGGTGCTCCGTCCACAACACCTCCCTCCACGATCTCGCGGACTGTCGCGCAGTCAAAAACTTGGCTGAGCGAACAAGGAAGTGGGAGGAGGACAGGAGGAAGGAACGCCGTGAGGGCAAGTCGCCGGCAACTCCCTCCGGTAAACGGCGAAGTGAGGCCAAGCAGAAGGCCCCCGCTGTTGACATCGATGACGGTGATGATGACCTAGGTTTCCAAGAACCTGGGGCCACCATTGCCACTGTCGATGGGGGAGCGTGTGCTCACATCTCTCGCCGGAGCCTCAAGGCCATGAAGCGAGAGCTTCTGGCCGCGGCCCCTACTCATGAGGCGACGCGCCGGGCGCAGTGGTCGGAGGTTGCCCTCACTTTCGACCAGACCGACCACCCACCGTGCGTCGCCCGGGGAGGGCAGATTGCGATGGTGGTTTCCCCCACCATCTGCAACGTGAAGTTGGGGCGTGTCCTC